TTTTCAGACCGATGAGCTTTGTAAAAATCGGCGCGTTTCAGAAAGGCGGGGCATAGAGGAGAAACAATAATGTACAGTATGTGGAAAATAATGTGTTTTGAACCTTAAACCGCATAAAAACATTTCATTACACCAAATACACAAAATAATGTTCTTTTATCAACATCATATGACCCCTTTAAGTATTTTGTACTATTAAGTCATTTAAAAGTTTTATAACCTTTATATGAACAGTTTAGAATGCTCTGTAATGTCAGTAACATTTCCTTCCTTTTATATATCTGCACACAACACCTTTTATCTTAATTTCAATTTATTGTAACAACATAAATTATGATTTACATACATTGCTTGAGAGCAGATATTTAAATGTGTTCAAATTGGTAAATACAGAACTTGTCATTTCTGTTATCAGTGGTAGCATACAACACACATCAAAATATGAAATGCTACAATAAAGGCATGACACTAGGAAGTTCATTGCACCATTTGACCCGTCAGTGATTTTTCTATCTGTTTGGGGATCTTTGGATCTTGAAGTCTCAGAGTGGTGACTTTGTTATCTAGCTCATCCATGAAACCCTCATCAACAGACTCACTGTCCCCGTCTTCCTCCTGCCTGGCGCCCTCTGCAGGCAAGAACACATGCAGCTGTGTGCGAGGCGCGCTAGATGAAGAGGTAGGTAAATGCTGGGTGGGAAGGAAAGTCTGTCCTCTGACAGATAAAGTCTCTAGGTGCTGCCTCACTAATGCCTGCAGTCCTGTGCTCTCTGTGGCCCGCCGCTGACTGTGAGTAAAGGCCTGTCCAACCTTTGGTACAGGCTTCAGAGGCCGAGAGAAATGCATGTACACTTGATGATAGCTCTGCTGAGGTGCCTTTGTGTTCTCAAGGGTCTTGCAGGAGGGAGAAGATGGGCCACGTTTGTGTAGAAGGGGACGGCGGTTTTTTGAAAACCCCTCGAAAACCGCTCTCTGCCCTGGGGTGAACAAGCAGGGCTCACTGATACTGTGAGATCAGAGGAGACCAAAAACAGACACGTGAGGTTCAACAGAATATGTTCAATTATAAAGCTGAAGGAATGAAAGGATAATGTTTTTTTTTTTTTTTAAATACTACCATTCAAAAGTTTGGGGTCATGGGTCAGTAAGATTTATTTTTGAAAGGAATTCACAATACATAATTCAGCAAGGACATATTAAATGAAGTTAATGTATACAATTAAGCTGACAGTAAAGACAATGTTGCAAAAGACATCTATTTGAAATTAGCGGTTTTCAACAATAATGATAAGACATGTTTCTTGAGCAGCAAATCAGCTTAGAACTATTTCTGAAGGATCATGCGACACTGAAGATTGGAGTAATGATGTTGAAAATTCAGCTTTGCCACTACAGGAATAAATTACTTTTTAAAATAATAGAAAACAGTCATTTAAAATTGTAATAGTATTTTACAGTATTACTGTTTTCACTGTATTTCTGATCAAATAAATGTAGCTTTAATGAGCATAGGAGACTTTCAAAAACATAAAAAAAAATAAAATAAATTGTACTGGCCTCAAACTTTAACATGTTAAATCCTGGCTGTAATAAGTTTTTGAGAACTTTGAAATACCAATTGAGCTGCCAGTCCAGATACACAAGACAAAATGGGTCATTAAATTCTTTGCAACTGTCATATCAATCAATCAATCATCTAAACCACTGCAACATTAAAGATGTAGGAATAAAAAAAATATATATATATTTTTTTCGCTCTGCATATTTCATAATATGGCCAGCACTGCATATATTGTAGTTTAAGAAACACTGGAAACAGTGGCTGTTCTCATTGGATAATCTGTGTAATATAGTTGTTTTTTCGCCCCATGAGCTGTTTGGGTGTGTTGCCATGTAAGAGGAATGTTTCTCAGGTTTCTAAAGCATTCTCCATTGTGCATGGAGCTGTAACTGCGCTCACATTTGTACAGGTTCAGTTTAATGCAAATCCCAACAAATTTAAAACAACGTAGGGATTGCATTGCTGTATTTCACTTATTTTCAATTTTAAAAACAATTTAAAATAATTAAAACATGATGCAAAGTTCTTTGAAAGTATATTTTATTAAAACATTTAAATATTATACATGTATGCCTTTTTTTTTTAGACAATGCAATTTTAATGACATACAATAGCCAGTTCTCTAGATATCGCTGATGCTAAACCCCAGGTTTCGAGGCGCCAGATATCAGCTTACCTGAGAGGCACTGTGGTGGTCCGCCCATGTGTTGAACTGGACAATGGTGGACGTCTGAAATCATCTCTGCTCCACGAGCCAGGAAGTGGAAGCACAGAACTGGAGAGCAGGTACATCCGGACCAGAGTGCGATTTCTCTGCATTGCCCACTGATGCTTTAACTCCAGTGTTCATGCTCAGTCCAGAAGGTCCCCTGGTCGCACTCATACCAGCACCGACAGCAACACACAGACTGCAGCCGCCCCACAGGACAGCATGTGTCCATATACAGTGATCAATCATTCATGTGCATTAAAAATACATCAGGCAAGCCCATTGGTCGCACACCACCAAATTCTCCTTCCCCGTCTCCCTTTCCCTCATTCTGTTGACAGCTTACTGCACACAGAACGGCTTGAGCATTTCTGAGATATCTTGGAACATGGGTTTATCTGATGCCAGGGTCATCATTAAATCACCATCAACTCGATAAAATCCCAATGCTGGCAAACAAATTGTGTTGTGTGAAATATGTAATTTCTAAAGAACAATTTAAAATAAACTAGAATCCACTATAACACTATAAAAAAAATCCAAAGTTATTAATAACAAAGATTATTGGATTCAGTTTTTTTTTTTACTTCAAAATCTCTTAATTCAATGTGCTACTTGCTGATTATTTCTAATCGTAAAATTGACAAATTTCAAGAAATTTCAATTTGAGTGAAAATTGTTAAATGTTTTTTTTATTTTTTTTATTGTAGTCTTAGATCTGTCTAAATTGTCAAATTTATCAGTCTGAAATGACACAAATGTTCACAAATGAAAATCCTCGTAAGTGCATTTGTTAAAAACACTGGCCAAGAAAATCCTAACCCACATTTATGGCAACACACTTCTCAGACTGCAGGTTTATTTTCCTTTTTGAACTATTTCCAGAAGTAGCTGTCAGCCAATAGGACACAACAGTGATAAAACAAGAGAAACATAGCACCTTGACCTTAATTGATACTGGACAGCAGCCTGGGTGCTACTGGGTTACAGAGGTCTGTCTGCGTTTGTAGACCTACAGAACAAACTCTTAAACAGCCAGTGTCTTTTTCCTCTTTCCAAGTTTTGCCAGTAAGTTTAATGAATATACATTAAAATAATGTGCTAATCAAAACAAATAAATTATGTAGCAACTCTAAAACATACATAAAGTCAGCTACATGATCAAGGTTCTGCAGTTCCAGGTAAAATGCAATGGTTTCATTTAAAAAAATGTTCCCAAAACCAGACATAGGGATCTTTATGTAGTTTATTTCAAAATTGGATATAATCATGATGCATCCAGTGCTGTACTCAAGATTTCCCAAGCTGCCACGTCACGTCACACTCCAACAGGACTATATATGACAAACTGAGAGAGAGGGAAAAAAAAATAAGAAAAGAAAAAGGTCAAAATTAGTAATGTGGTTGCATAACAGTGGTTTGTCATTTTTGAAAATAGTAGAGATTAACACCAAGCAGCCTTTTCATTTATTTAAATATAAATGTATATATACACACACACACACATAAGTTGAGTGTTGATCATCTATTTAAAACTAAATAGCAATTAAATTTAAGTTTGGATTAAGTTGTTAGGCCTAATTGTAACCTTATAATGTAAAAGGGCTCCCCATAGTTTTAAGCATAAGGACATACACACATACATACACACCAGTGTTTCCCATTCATTAACTAGACTGTGGCGCCACAGTTTCATAATAAACCGAAGATATATTTATACTTCTCATATAACATAAAAGTTATTTAACGTTGTGTTTCACGCCATTGCTTTGGCAAGTATCCGTCAAACGAATTAAAACCGAAAGCGAATAACAAAGTGAAGTGTGCACACATTGCGCACGCGATCAGCTCGTGATCCGGTGTTTTCTGCATCTCAGAGAGGCTCTGTTCACAGTGAATGCACTGAACTCCGTTATTCAATGTGCTGTGAGTTTAGCACGCGTTTGGGAACGCAACGGCCACCAGTTATGCATAATTTGCACATTTGCATAATTTTCTACATTTTAATGGGCTAATGTTTACAGTATTTCATTAAATTAGTAATGTTTCTAACCCTGTTTTCACAGAAGCTGGAGTTTTCCGCCAAAATAAAAGCTCAACTGAAGTTTTCGCCAAAATAAAAGCTCAAGGGTTTCTCTTGCAAGCATGGCCTAAAATGAACTGACGTGCACAGAGAAAATACTGTACAGGTACAGCAAGTTCACTGTTCGGAAGAAAAATTAATATTGGGGTGGGGGTTTATATGAATGTATTTCTGAAGGGAACTGATCTTATCACTGCTGATCCATAAGCGCCACCTGCTGTCAGAGAGTGAACTTGCGTTCTCATTCAACCTGCCTGTTTTTGTTTCATGCAGGTTTTATCTTTGAATCTTTGTTTGTATAGTGATTAAAATGCAGTGGTTGGTTCTAATTTCAAATGGCTTTTTAAAAAAAAATTTCATGTGTTTAGTTTTTGTAGTAGTAGCAAATGCCAGTTTTTTGCAAAAATTGTTTCATGACAAGGAAAAATATTTATGGCCGGTAAATTTTCTCAAGTCACCAGCCACTGGCAGATGTGAAAGTTAGTTTTAGGCCCTGCTTGCAAGTGTAGAAATTAGGACAAATGTATTGCAATTTCCCTAAATGTAGAGTAAGGTAAAATAATATACCTGAAAAAAAAAATCATTTTAATTTATTTCACAGTGCAATTGTTTTACAATATATGGCTATTACTGTCATAAGAATAATATAAAATTATTATTATTATTTTATTCTAATTTGTTTGGCTTCCAAATTTACCAGTGAGACTGAGACACTATATCACAACTAAAAAGAGGATTCAGTCCCCTTTAAACTTCAAGAACAAGTACATTCACCAGCTTTTTTCTTTTAGTTTGCACACTGAACCTGTGTTGGAGCTCTTAATTTTGAACTCTCAAAGTGCACCAGATTTATGAATTTAACTTTAAAATGTACAACGTTTTCTTACGGGGGAGCATGCGCCGCATATATATATTAGTGCTGGGCAACGATTAAAATTTTAATCACGATTAATCGCATGATTTTTATGTGATTAATCGCATTATGCACAAAATTCAATAATGAATTCAAAAGTAGTGTATTTTTTTTTTTATTTAAAAGTACTGCTATATGAAATGTGCAATAACATTTGGTTTGCAAACACTTGAAACAAAAGGTGCTTTTTTTTTACAGCAGTATTCCTTTTACATAGTAGCAGTTAAAATATTTATTGTAAATCTCAACTTATAACATTAATGTATTCAAATTAAATATAAAACCAAAGCTATTTGCCACTGCCAGGGCATTAACGTTTTTATAGAAAATATTTTATAGTTTGTTATAGAAAAAAAAGTTCTCTCAAGAGTCCAGAGCCTCAATTCATAACATTATAACAGGCACCTTCCGAGTAGAGAACTGCACTATCGCGCGACCCAATGCAGCAGTGTGAGGCGCGGGACAACACTTGATGTGCGAGTGAGGGTGCAGGCGGGTAGACACTCGTGTGTGTGCAGGATGCGGGAGAATAAGGGTGTACTTGCACTAGGCAATCTTAAAGGGTTAGTTCACCCAAAAATGAAAATTCTGTCATTAATTACTCACCCTCATGTCGTTTCAAACCCGTAAACCTGCGTCACACGGATACGCTGTTTTCGTTCAGATCAAATCACAACAACGTAGGAAACAGATCCGGCATGACACAGCTGACACAGAACAGCATACATTGTTTAGTCCAGCTGATACTCTCCAAAATGGCGCTACAGGGTGATGCGGAGTAGACGAATTGTTGAATAAAGAATTGTTTCTTTTGCGCACAAAAAGTATTTTCGTAGCTTCGTAAAATTATGGTTGAACCCCTGATGTCACATGGATTATTTTACAGATCTCCTTGCTAGGTTTCTGGACTTGGGAACATTTCAGTTGTATTGCTGTCTATGCAGGGTCAGACAGCTCTCAGATTCCATAAAAAAATATCTTAATTTGTGTTCCGAAGATGAACGAAGGTCTTACGGGTTTGAAACGACATGAGAGTGAGTAATTAATGACAGAATTTTCATTTTTGGGTGAACTATCCCTTTAACCGTGCCCGAGTGCGTTTGACCCCCAAAGCCCAGTTCGTTTGACTAGTGTGATCGCTCCGTGCCGCGCTCGGGCACCGTTCATTTAGCCGTCCCTGGCTCGGTTGGAAGAGGTGGGCCAGAGCACGGTTCGGTTGTGCTCGGGCGCGGTACGCATGTAGTGTGAGCGCTATACGTGCAGCACGACTGCATGAACATTTCTGAGCGGCAAAAGCGATAGAGATCTGTAAAGCAATATATCGTGAGAGGGCCGTGTGTTACCGCGTCCCAAACAACTCTAATAATAAACCTCTAATAATAAACCACTAACAATAAACCACAAAGTTAACAAAACGATGCACTCCACTGTGCTGAGCGAGAGCGCTTCTCTGCTGTCTTCACGTGC